GCGGAAGTTGTAAACTGCTGTCGATCTTGCTGTGACCCCCTAGGAAAAGGTTATGCCCCGCCCTGTATGTATGTGATTTATTAATCTCCTCATTCCAGCGCCTCTACCAAGTGTACAATATTATAAAAATAAAACTGTAAGCAATAATAAATAAATGTACCATGGTTCTTCCTCTAGTAACTAATCAACTAAGGTCTTCCAGAAACCCAGGTTTTAGCTATTTTGAGATAAGCCATTGTTTTCACTGGGGAAAACTGTTCTAAAGGATGGAATCAGCCACTAAAAATACCCATCTCTGTACCCCTTCCTGTAAAACATGCTGATAAGAGGGGATCTTTAACAGACCCTCCCTATTCATATAGGGACAATTTACTTGGGATAAATGATTTCTAGGATACTCATATCCCAAAAGCTCTTTGAGAAACTTGGAAAAACATCAGTAACCAATGCAGCTGTATCAGCAGCGGAATAACATGCTGGTATATTGGGATTGCCCAGTAAGCACATTAATTTTCAGATAGTCTTCAAGGATGGGCCCATTAGAATGTATGTGCCCATTAGAATGTAATGGGCATATTAGAGTGTACATTAATATATCATTAGTTTATGAAGGGTAGCCCCATTAGAATGAGTTACAATAATTCAGTACAAGGAGATAAGGGTGTACATAACCTTATCTTGTTCTGGCTGAGACATTATATCAACTGCACTGGACAAAGGCTAGCAGAAACCATATATCCAGAAGCATCCCCGGATTGTGAGTCTGGTCTTTCAGGTCGGAGCAGAAACCCATCAAGTGCCAAGGCTGATATCATTCCAGGATCAGTTGACTACTGAACCAGCAACCATTCTATATTCACTGGTTTGAGTCTGAGCCCATTTCTCCCCAACTAAGCCAGGGAAGCCTCCATACTTTCTCCCCATTTTCCATTTAGCCTGTGGCAGGATAGTAGGGTATCATCAACATACTGATAATAACTCATTCGATGCCAGCAGTTTCATGTCCATATTAAAAGGTTCCTTTAAAAATAAAATAAAAATCAAGAGTTGTTTATGAGCTGCGGTGGCACAGTGGTTAGAATGCAGTACTGCAGGCTACTTCAGCTGATCACTGGCTGCTTTGAGCACCAGCCTTCCATCCTTCCGAGGTTGGTAAAATGAGGAGCCAGATTGTTGGGGGCAAGATGGTGACTCTGTAAACTGCTTAGAGAGGGCTGGAAAGCACTGTGAAGTGGTATATAAGTCTAAGTGCTATTGCTATTGCTACTGCTATCCTTGGTAGGGTTCATTTCTTTCCATAGATACTCACCATCAGAGCCAAAGTAAAGATGTTATGTTTTGCCAGCAAAACTGTTTCATTAGACATGAGGAACTTCAACAGATTAATCAGAGCTAAAGGAAGAATTTAAAAAATGAAATACAGTTTTATTTTTATAAACCAATACTTATAACCAATGTAAATAAGAAACTCAACTTCATTAATGAAAAACCTATACTTCACAGGGAAGAAAACTTCTGTTTTAGTTCACCAATAACAACAGGGATTTTTTCCGTTACTGATCACTTTAAGTGGGAACAAGAGTATGAAAAATGAATTGTTTTCAGGACAAAAATCAACAAATCAATATTAGATTTTGCTGATGGTACACAAAGCAGAACCATGTATGGTATAATTTGCAATAGCTTGACTAGGTTCAACTTAGTGTATTATATTTATTTGGATACAATACATGTTATGTCAAGTTACTTAGGACAAGACAGATCCTTTTAGATTCACTGCCTGCAGACCAAAGTATAGTAACAACCTGGATTATGTATCTTCTTTTAAATCTCTTTTCAGCTAAACAGAGTAACCAAGGTAGTAAAAGCTGGGAACACAAATAGTTTGAGGCAAAAATGTGTTATCTGACAACACTATTACAAACACAGAATAACAGTAGAAAATAATTCCCAAACAAAGGCATTGTACTTAAAGTTTCTGAATGTGAAATTTAGTCTGAACATTTTCTGTTCTTAATAAGGAAATTGGAGTCCAAAGCACACATTTCACAGCTAGAAAGTTAAAGCTGTCCAGTTTAAGTCCATTTAGAAACTTGAGATCAGAGTTCACCGTTGTTACAGAACAATGTTAACACATGAGATAAACTGCTGGGTACCTGAAATTATCATAAACTATAGGAGGAAACAATGATTGTCGACTACCTACTGATCACCTTGATTAAAAAGTCATGCTAGAATGATCAGTTTATATGAAGATGTGACTAATGAAAGGAGTCATGCCAAGCTGATGAGGAAGAATCCTATTTCAGATCAGCATTTCTGTATCAAAGAAAGGCACACACTGGCTAGGAGTACATGAAAAAGGAGACCAAGGAACTGCAAAACAAACTAACAGTAAACAACAGTCCAATCAAGGAATCACCAAGGCCAATCACACCAACACTAATAGGGCAAGTCACTAATAAACGAAATGAGAGCAAACCCCACTTCCTACTAGCACTGATATTACCTAGTTTGTTAATGAAACATCTGCAAGAAAACAACAAATCTCAGAAAGCAAAAATAGGACCTACCCAAAACACATTTCAGACATAATTTTCTGGAGAGGTTTTTTGGGGGGGAGGGGGGGGGATGGAACATCAGGAAGGGATTTAAAATTTAAAATTGTAATAATGATTGGATTTGGCTAAATTGGTAATTGCCAATTGCAGTCCAGCTTGCTCTTCTGCTAAGAAGAAAGGAGAAATAAGGTCTCATTAATTCAACTCCTTACTTGACTTTCTCTCCAACAACTTTCTCTTTATCTACTAACATCCTTCCATCAATGTTCCAACAGGAGGGAGTTTGACTGTCTATCAACCCTTCTTAAACTTGCACCTAAAATTGTGCTCTTGTGGCTCATTCCTCCAATGGCAAATGATATTTGCCCAAATACTATGGGAGGAGAAATATCTAGTAGATGGTGGGAATGAATGGATAAATTGTGGTAAGTTGTAATATTCCATTTGTCTTTCTGAGTTGACTTTTATCTTTTCTTGTATTAATTTACACTAACCTAAGCATGACCCCTTCATATAACAGAAATATAATAGAGTACATTTTTACCAGTTCAACCAATTAGGACACGATTGTCTCTCATTTGCTTCTCTGAGAAAGTTATGTATCAGCTATAATGATCTCTGGACAGTTTGTACCAGGCTTGAGAGGCATATTAAAGGAAAAATTGTAGGAGAAATTTGAATCAATAAGCTTATGCAACTGATTTTAAAACATATTCTATTCCCTTTTGTGGCTGGTGTGCCCATGGGGAGCAGAAAGCCAAAATTGTCCTGAAGTTAGCCAGCTCAACTCATATAATTACATCATTAATTATTTTAACCATGGACTGGTTACTTTAACAGCATGGCTGCCATACGTTTCTTCGAAAGAATTTCAAATGATCTTGATTTAGCAATTGAGACTATAAATTAACTTTTGACTTCTGTTAAGGAGTTCATTTGTGGCTCACTGTTTTTGTTTGTTCTGGTGTTTTTTAGCTTGTTTGTACTGTTTGTTTAAGAATAAATGCTTTGGAAGATTTGAATATATCGTGACCTATTTTGTGTTGTTGGTCAGAATCATCACAGTAGCTAAACAGAAAACTAAGTATACACATACCACAGAAAAATGTATTCATTATACATGCATATTTAGCTATTCAGATTGTTTTCAGTCTCTGATCATTACCGTATTTTCACGACCAAAAGCCGCACCGGATTAAAAGCCGCAGTATCAATTAA